ATTTGATTACTGACTTGATCGTCAGAGTTCCCCCGAGTGGACGAACCACCGCTAGATTCTTATATTTCTGTGACAGGTTGTTCGGGGCTTAGTCTATTCTGTCGGTGCTCTCTAGTTGAGTTCCCTGTTTGGTGGTGTGGTTGGAAATCAACACCCACAATTAGTATGAGTTAAAAAATAAATGGTCACATTGTAATACAATGTTATTAGAGAAACAATGTAATGTAGAAAGGGAAAAAAATTGAAATTAAACCCTTCCACACCCTAAAATTTAAAAACTATAACAAACTTAGGAAGTAATTCAAACTCATGAAACCAAAGGCCACCAGAAAACATTGTCAACTATACATCACAAACCTCCCACAACTACTTGTTCACCCAATAACAATGTGTGTCATGTGTCTATTCAACAGTATTTTGTTTGATCTCACAGTAAGAAGGAATGTCAAGAATGAAAAAGATGCGACTCCACGCAAGTTACTACATTTCAATAGTTAAATGAACTTCAAATTTTCAAAACTGATTAGAGACAAGGCAAAAGTAAAAAATCTTCTTACACAAAAGGGGAGTCTAAGAATAAAAGGAGAAGAACGATTCAATCAAACCAATATCTTGCTATTTTCAGAAGAAACAAGAACATTTAACATATGTGGGGAAGACATTGCAAGAGAAGAAAATGACCTTCGTGCTGTAGCATGATCAAAAGAAATGAAAGAAAATGTATGCTCAAGTAAACTGTGTTAATAATATATTAATTCCATTTACTTGAAAGCTTCAATTTGAATCTACAAATATTGCAAACTTAAAATATTACATAATTGGGATGGAACGACTAACCATAAAATATTGCTTAAACTTGTCAAGCTATCCCAAATTTGTTTATTTGAATCTTTTTCTTTTTTTATTTAAAGCAAAATCATAAAATATATTCCATTGGCACTTTTTTATTTTGCCCTTTTCTTGCGACTCAATTGGCACTTCTTTTCTTTTTCTTTTAATTTTAATTTTTTTTCTTGCTTAATATAATGTATTTATTTACTTATGCATTTAAAGTTGCCAAGTAATTTCAAAAGGTCATTAATTATTCAATTGCAAATTAAACGAATTGTGTTCCTTAGACCTACCTAGGATGTCTTAGGTTGAAGCGTAATCGATATATATTCAAATGATCAAAGGTGTAGTCCAAGTTAGTTTACAATAGGCAATACAATCAAAAATTAATTAGACATTTGAATTCATCTGCACAATTTATATTCAAATTTATATAGTGAGAGACAAACACCTGATCGAAATTTTCTGGTTGTGAATCTTCAATTGAGTTCACTGATTGAAGATTATCAAATGTATTGAGTAGTGAATCCTATTTTGTGATCATCTTTGATTACCTACAATCCGCGGGAGGATTAGATGCGTCAACTTCAAATGGCTCGTGAAGAGTTGTTCTTCCAAGAAGACTATTAACATTTTATCAACAGCTAAAGAGAACATAGAAAGGATTTGACTACCAAGTCCAGTGGCGGAGCCAAAATTTTGGCTCAAAGAGGACACCATTGAATTGAAATCTTAACAAAAATCACAATCAAACTACCTAATATTTATTTGATGGTAGGAATAAAAAGCACTGTAATGCAAATGTTATATTTAAATATAAGCTTGAGCTAACCAATCTTAATCATTTTTTGTTTTTACTTTGATTTTATATATGATGATCACATGATTTGAAAAATAATCACATGCCTTATAAAATATGAAAACGGAATTATATTAAGTTGCACACACAAAACAAACGTAGATAGAAATAAAAAAAAAAAAATGAGAGAGAATGTGAATAAATAATACAAAGACGCTGTTATATATCACTTATATTTTTTACAGTTTTGAATATATTATTAGTTGTTGTTAATTGTGTAATAAGTATTTCTAAACAAAGAAACTAATTATGAGTATTCATATAATATGTGTTATAACAAAAAATTCAGTGACATATAATATTTCTCTAATATAAAAAATTGGTGACACATAGTAATATATTAAACAAGTTTTTTTGAAGAGAAAATGTAAAGAAAATAGTGATTAAAAATTTAATATCATATTTATAGTGATTAAAAATTTAATATCATATTTGAATGGATTAAATTGAACTCTTTTTTTTTTTTTTTTTTTTTTTTTACTAAAGGCAAAAGTGCACTTTTTCAAAAGTTATTGTTATTAATAAATTGAAATAAAGTTCATAGTACAAGAGGGGATAAAATAGAGGAAAGATAAATCCATTTTTAGCCCGCTATAAAAATATAAAACAAAGAAATAAATAAAATGAAAATCCGAAAAACCCAAGTCATATGATATCATCAAAAACATATAGGAAAACAAATACTCATAAAAAATCAAAAAGAAAAAAAAAAAGAATAGAAACCCATTAAAAAAGGCTCATGAACCAACCTTCCCCCCCTCCCCCCAATCCAAATGAGACCTAACAAAAAATGAACATGGAATAAATATTAAAAATTAAAACAAAAATTGATTTTTGATATTGGAGTTATATTAGTTCAAAGTCCCTATTAACAACTAAGATTTGTTTTAAAGGAATGTACTGGGTAGCTTCAACCCCCACAACTTTCTTTATCCTATTCTTATTTCAATTTTTTTTTTTTTTTTTCTATTAGAGATCATCACTTAACTGCAATACCATCACCTTAAATTGTTTGATTGATAGAGACACCATTTAAAATACTACTGTAGTCTCTGCAAGGAAAAAAATGAAATGGTTTATGTTGGGTCTCCGTTCTAGCCTTACAACCTTGCAAGAGAAAGAACTCAAGAATTTCCAATTGAGGTTGTCCATGAATGGTTGAAGTAGGCGTTTCAAGGCTTTTAGTCTGTAATAAGGTAGTATCAAGGTTGTTAAGATCGCGATCCGAATCGTAGGATCGTACAATTCTACGATCCATTTTTGGAGAATCAATCTGAATTGTATGATAAATCGCATTTTGTTTAGGATCGTAATAGGATCGGTGGGGTCGTAGGATCGTATTCGGATCGCGATCCTCCTACTTTTGGCCATTTTTGTCATATTTTTAATACAGGTTTGATGCCTTCTCACTTTTCTAATGACCCACGACATAAGATTAGGGCAAAAGATTGGGGAAAGTTAGTCACGAGAGCTGATAGCAGACAACGAAAGCAGCAGTGAGAAGAATCCATCCAGCCTCCATCCAGGTATGCTTCTTCTTCTTCTTCTTCTTCTTCTTCTTCTTCTTCTTCTCTGTTCGACTCATTCTTCTCTTCTTCTCTGTGCTTCGACTCCTTCTCTTCTCCTCTGTTCGACTTCTTTTTCTTTTTCTTCTTCTCTGTTCGTCGTGTTCTTCTTCTTTCTTCAACTGTGCTGTTTTTTTTTTGCTGCGTTATTTTTCTGCTTTTCTTCTTCTTCTTCTTCTTCTTGTCTTCCATTTTTTCCCCCTTTTCTGCTACTGCTTTTTTTCCCTCTTCTTTCATTTTTCTGTTTTTCATTCCCCTTTTGTTTTTCCCCCTTTTCCCCTCCTTCTTCCATTTTTCCATTTTTTTCTGTTGTCTTCTGCTCCTGTTTTTGTTTTTTTCTGTTATTTTTCTATTCTGTTTTTTTATTCTATTCTATTTTTCATTTGGTTGCTTCCATTTTTTTCCCTCCTCTTATTCTGTTCTCTTATTTATTTATTCTTCTCTTATTTTAGTTTGTTTTCTTAAGGATATCAATGTTGTGCAAGTGTTAACTTGAAGACTTGAAGTTGAATTGCTATTTTTTTTTAAAATGTTCTTTTGTTAAGATTTGAGGAAAATGTTTGAATGACAACTTGAATTGCCACCTTCTTTTATTATGTTTTCTTTGTTTAAAAAAATGTGCAAAATGTATATTTGAATTGATTATTGTTAGTGAGCAAGGCAGACAAGTGAGAATGCGAGGATTTGAACTTGATCTGCTCATAAGTATGAGAGCTCTACCATTTGAGCTACATTCTCAAGTTTTTTTGGGTCATTTTATGTGTATTTTGATAGTATTAGTTAGACATACAAGAATTATTGCCTTTTTTCATCGTTTTAGTAGGATCTTACGATCCCCGATCCGATCCTCCAGACCCCCAAAACGATCCTATGTAGGATCCCGATCTTAACAACCTTGGGTAGTATCTCATTCGTAATGTTCAAACTCCATTAGTTTCGATTCAAATTGGTGGGTTTATCCCCATTTGTTGTCTAATTGGAGAAAAATTACAATATCTCTATTAAAAAAAACATGTGTACTTCGTGGTTTCTGTTAAATGACTCCATGCATCAATCTTACTATCTAGGCATTGAATAGGGAATGATTTTGTAGTTACTATTACTGATGTTCATTGGTTATTGATGTTCTACGTTATATATAGTCTGTCTCTTCAATTGTCCTGCTCAAAACAATTATTTATCCCACAATGTAGCACTTATATTTCTTTCTTTTCTCTTTCTCTTCTTTTGAACATCGCACCTGGTTTCCATTTTCGTAACAGATTTTGGTTAGTTGGGTTTTTTCAAGGGCACTAGTTTTTTTTTTTTTCTCATTTGGTTGTTGAAGCTTCCAAAAGGAAATTCTTTCCTAGAGCACCAATAATATTAAATAAAGTAATTTTGAAATGTTGAAGTTTTAATCTGAATTTTGGGTGTAATGTTGTTGTAGGAATGTGATGCAATAGGCATAGTAGATACTTATTGGGGGTGTTTGGGAACCAAAAGTTGAGGCTAAAATAGCCTCAAATACAAAAAAAGCCAAATAGCCTACTAAACTAATAATTTATATTTATAAAAAAAAAAAAAAAAACAAAAACCAATGCACTGGCAGCCGGCAGTGGGTAGGCCCAGCCTAGTCCCACAGGCTGAAATGACACTCTTGCATAGACTAATTTTGGAAAAAGTAAAGTTAGGGACAAATTTGTCATTTCAACCTCAAATATCATTTCAAACATATTTTTCAATACAACTCAAATAAAAATCCATCCTATCTTCCCAAACACAAAAACTAAAATAGCCTACTAAAATAGTCAAAAAGCCAAAAAGCGTCTAAAATAGCCACTTCCCAAACACCCACTATGTACTCATATAGATACTCTCTCTCTTTCACTCTCATACGCGCACATTCACAAAAACCCATTTCTTAAGTGGACTATGTAAGCGGGTTCTTGTTGCCTGTATGTGTATGTGTTGGTGTTTTTTGAACTTAGTTGAAGGTATTTTTGGAAATATCAATTCTTTTGGCACTGTTTGATTTGTTTGAGTTCAGACTGTTATTGGGTATTATTTTTGTTCTCTGTTTTCTTTTTTTTTTTAAATAATAGTTTGGTGATTTTTTGTTTGTTGTATTGGAAGTGAGGATTCAAGATCAATCTTTAATTCTTATTGGAGTAAAGCTTATTGCTAATTAAAATTTGAACAAAGGTTAGGACTTAGGGCATATATATATATATATTGATTTGGTGACTGAAAGGTAAGGTTTGTCCACGTTGAAAGCATCTTGCTCTTGTGAATTCAGTAGGAATTGATGGTTTTCATCTTGGTATTGTATTGGGGTATGTTTCTTTATAACTTATCTTTATTTGAGAATCTTTTATCTTTCATTTGTGAATTCTGAATTTTTGTTGATTCACTTTCATAGAGAAGTTAGCACGTAGGTTCTCTTATAAACATTTTCACAAACACCTCGTAGGTCTATTCAATGCCTACAAACCTATAATCAATATATAAATCACAAAGCAAATACTAGAAAGAAAACAGAAGAGGGAACAATGAAAGCCAAACCTCAAGTGAACATAATTGAGAATAAACCTTCGTTTATTTCTCTAGTTTTCTGTAGATAGGCCTCAATTAAGGTAACTTCTATGAAAAAGAGCAGATTTGTGCGACCTAAATGAGGTGCAAATGCAAACTCAAAATGCACACATCTGGTTATTCTTCTGTAAGCAGTGCAAGCTTCCAATTATTTGTTTACAAGCGGTGCACCGAACAAAGAAGGTTCTAGGAGAGACCATAGAAAGACCCATCAGTTGGAAGCAAGACTTGGATCATCTGGGTTGGTTGTCCATTTTGGCACGATCCGCTCCCTGTATCCAAGGGTTAAGTATCGTGATGGCTATTAACTGAAGGTACCTCCGGCTAATTCTTAAACAAATTACTAAACGCGAGCGGAAAAATATTTAAGTGTGGGTACCAAAATAATCATTGGAGCTTCTATGTTTATAAAAAAAAATTATTGACCAAAAAGGCCGATATTTACATATGAAGAATAAAATTATAAATACTATAAAAGTGCTGTGTGTGTCTATTCCGCAGTCCCGCGTCTAAGACTCTCCAAAAGTTATTTTTGAATTGCATTGTTTCCTGAAAATTGGTAAATCAGTATAAGCATATAGCAGAGTGAGAAATATTATATTAAGATTATAAGGGCATAAAATTCACCATGGATGATTATTGGTTAAATAAAGCTTGATATTAAAATACAGAGTATATAATATAGAGATCATTTGACATATAATACAAAAATCATATAAACAAAGTAATCATAGCTATGGTACAGAATGGAACAGAATAGATGTATGGACTCAAGAGGTGGCTCGTACGAACTCTAGAAGTAACTTCCACCATAGTGTAGCACTTAGCTCCGTACAGCACTTTGCTCCACACCAGAAATCATAGTGTCAGTGGATCCATAACAGACAAAGGGCCACAAGGTGACCAATCAGAAACTAATAGTTTATTTAAGTCGCTCAAGGCATGGGACTCTCGTAGTGGTACTTATAAAATAATTACTCAAAACACATTTTAATAAACAGTTATATTCATGGGTTTTCCTTAGTATATAAAATAAGGTTCATAAAATAAATAACATAATTAAAAATACTAATATAATTTATAAAATACAAGTTACGTAAAATAAATTATGATAACTCAAAACATACGTAAAATATATTATGGTGGCTCGAGTTATAATAAAACTCACATTTAATTTTACTTTCTATTTTTTCTCAATCTTTCCGAAACCTTCTCCCAGCCACTTCCTTCCTTCGTTTTATTTATTTTCTATTTCTTTTCTTCGTTTTTGTTTATGCTCCATCACTTGCTATTCCTTAAGCCCCTTGTATAGGTGACTCACCAATCTACTCATTAATTGCATATTTGTGAGGCCAAAGTTTAGGGACACGTGGCTGCCAATCCTCCAACCTTATCAATTAGATTTGCCACCTTTTCTTTAATCACCATTTGGCCCAAAAAGCACCTTATTACCTCTTGGATAATACACAATCACCCTTCATTGTTGTGCTAATTATATTACTATAAATTATGTCTATATACATATTATATTTTGTTTTCTCATTTATAATTAAAGAATACTAATATTAAATTTAAGGGACAACTTAAATTTTCGGATTGTTACACATTCGGTTCCCACTGAAACACTCCTCCTCACCCACATGGAAGAAACAACGTACGCATGTCATCTCTGGAAAACATACAATACAGAAAGTTGAGAAAACAGAGATTCTGATAATTGGGCAGGCTGCAATTGCAGGCTTTCTTTGAGCACATGGCGCACCAAGAAGACAATCAAGCAGTACAGTTTGTCTCTTAGACGCTTAGCAGCAGAAAGGAGTTAAGAATTTGTAGGAGGAATGATGGAATTTGTTTTCTTCAACTGTGTGTGGCTAATTTGAAGCCCACGTGGCCAGCCCAAATCTGCAAGGGAAGAGCTCTTACAAACCAAAGAAGCAGCAGGGTTACACCAAGAAGCAGCAGCATTACACCATTCTTAGATACTTTTTATATAGGTTATAGATTTTTGCCGAAATTAACACTCAATATCATTAGAGGGCCAAATGAATGTCACTTGTTCCAAGTTCAAACTGGAATATCCTTGAATGCACATCAAGACCATCTTATTTATGCATATTGTGAACATCATCCCCAAGCTTGTGTAATATATGTTACAGTTTGTTGTTGTATATTCCTTTTTAATGACCAAATTGTAAGTAGTTGTGTACATTCTTTGATCCTTATTATCTCTTCCATTTTTTTTTTTTTTTGCAGTGATACATAGAGAGATGGATCCAAATTCAGTTAAATCGACTCTATCTAATTTAGCATTTGGAAATGTTATGGCAGCAGCAGCTCGTGATTATCAAAAGGTATGTTCTTTGTTTTTCCGTCTTCTTCTTCTTCTTCTTCTTTTCCTCTGTGGTCATCTGTGTCCCTTTTTCATCCGTTGTCATTCATTTGTTGTTAGTTTATTTATATACATATATATTTGATAAGGATTTGTTGTTAGTTCATATACTTTGCTTGTTCTCTAAATCTTCAAACTTAGGACAAAAAGACAATCAGCTAGCTTGATGTTCTTTTATTCTTGTTAATTAAGATTGGTCAATTATATTTGTGATTGTAATGTTGGTGGCTATTAGCTGAATGAGGTGTGCCTACCCATCCTATCCTTTTGAATGTCACAACTTATTCAAACATGAAAGTTGCTTTCTGTCATTTTGGAGCACTCACCCCCTCATACTTTAAATGGAATAATGGTTGAAGTCCTTGATCTAGAACTCTTCTTAACATTCCAATATATTTTAGTAATTATGTAAGTTAACATCTGTCGAACAATAAAACATTGTGGCTCTAAGATTGCTTTGGTTTTCTGGCCTTCAAGTTGTTATTAATGCGATTCATAGGATAAAATTAGGAATCAGAAAATTTGAATTGACTAAGGCCTTGTTTGGGAAGAGTGTTGGGCTAAAATAGCCCACTAAATTATAAAATAGGCTAAAATAGCTAATAAGATAAAATGTCACTTCCAACCCATAATCATTTCACTTTTTATCTCACAACCATTAAATCAACTACAAAAAAAAAAAAAAAGAAAGAGAAAAAGAAAAAAGAGCAGCCAACCAACTTCCCAAACACAACCACTTCTTCTTATGTTTCCATTTACTGATCCTACAGGAAGTTTTAGCTCAAGAGAAGGGACATGCTTCTACATCTATTAATCAGGATGTTGATCTTGATGACTTGATGGATGTAAGTTGGATTGTGCATCTTCCTACTTGTTCACTTATTTTTCTATATCCAAATTGGTTTACTTGCATTGGGTGATATCAGGATCCCGAGCTGGAAAAATTGCATGCAGATAGGATTGCTGCTCTAAAGGTCAGAAATTTAGTCTTATTAAATGCACCTTCTGGCCGTTTGATTATTAGATTTGGGGTAAGATGTCTGAATTGGAAAAAAGTCACCAGGGTTGGTTTTATTTGACTAGAAAGAAGCTGAGAAGCGACAAGCATTGAAGAAGCAAGGGCATGGAGAGTATAGGGAGATTACTGAAGGGGACTTCTTGGGTGAAGTCACCGGAAGTGAAAAAGTAATCTGCCACTTCTACCATCAGGAGTTTTACCGATGCAAGTAAAACCTTTTATCTCTCTCTCTCTCTCTCTCTCTCACACACACACACACATACACGTGCACGCACACATGCATATAAGTGGACTCACCAATGACATGGTTGGCTAACCTTGAACCTTTGTCTTTTGATAAGTTCTATTCATCGAGTCTGAGAATTGTTTGTGAAGTACTGTCTATCATCTAGGTAATAGCATGCCCATATATCTCACCATTTATGTATAGTATAGGTCTTCCTTCTAAATGTTGTCCACTTAATCAAGTAATGATAGGATGCAGGATCTTGATTGAGGATTGTAGCATGTGGCTTACACACCACACTAGCTTTTGTACAATTTGTAAGCTGTTCATTTTATATCCTTGTCACTTTTGACTTCACTATTTTTATTTGATGACCTATTAACTTCACCGTTAGCATAATAGAAGTACAAAGACATTGAAATAAAATTTTCAATCAAAGTCCTAGCTGTCTTACTGGTCTCGTTTTATGATGTCTGCAATGAATGTATTGATTTGTGTTGGAATGGTGTCCATTGACATTAGTTGGTTGCAATGATCTGAGTATTTTGGGTAAAAAATAGGAAGTACAGACATCAAAACCTGAATGCCCGCTGCCTTTCATTTCATATTTCACTGTGAATTTCTATTGTAATATTATTTAATATTTTTGAATGATTTAGCAGCCTATAAACCATTGCTTGGGGTGGACATGTGTTTTTAGTATGCCGCCTTCATTTGCAATTGTAGAGTTTTAAGAACAATGATATTTGTCTCAAATTCGTTTCTTCTATCCCTGCTAGGCAGCATTTAAGTTATTCAAACCAATGTAGGCATAATAACTTGTACTTGGTCAAATTGGGGATTGGATGATTGTGCTCAAACCCTAACCCATTTTGATAGTTTCCAAATATTTATATCCACATTTTACTAATCCAGGTTGGCTTAAATTATATTGGGTTATGGAGATACTTGGTATTGCTTCAATTGAAAGATGAACTTTATAGTAAGTTAAAATGCACAATGCAGAGAGGCCTCAAGGTTATGGTTATCAGCATACTCTAAACAAACATATTAACTATATGGTGATATTTTCAATTCTATGAGAATTTTTATGAAAGCCAACTGCCTCGTCTCTACTTTTTGAGTTGGTTACATGAATCATATTTCATCATTCTATTAGATCAAGAGAAAGAGTTTGAGAGGTTAGAAAGTATTTCAAACTTGTGAAACTATCGATAACCATTTTGTTTACAAATAAATTTGAGACATTTTGAGCTCCATAATATATGCTTTGAAAACTCACAGTTTGGACAAAGAGAAATCATAGTCCAAATCCTTGATGTCCATTTTGCTGACTGTGCAAACTGGAACGCTTTAGCATTGAACATTTTGTTTGGACAATATTTATAGGAAGTGCTCCATTTATGGTCTGAGTTTTTTTTTTTTTTTCTCTGATCTTATATGCACATCCCAGGCCTTGGGAGAGCCTTCAATATAAAATGCATAACTTGCATACAATTCATGACAGCATGTGCACATGCATTTATGTTGTGAGTTCTTTGCCACCATGTTGACGAATCTTTTGTAGGATAATGGACAAGCATTTGAAATCACTTGCACCAAAGCATATTGATTGCAAATTCGTCAAGCTAGATGCAGAGGTCAGTTTTCATGTGCTCTTTAAGTTTTTATGCTCTAGTGCTAGTAGCAATTACAATATTGAATTTTTGGTTCCACTCATTTTTTTAACCTTTGAGACAAGATGAAATATGAGATTCTTATCATTTGAGAAGAAATGCAGAATGCGCCTTTCTTTGTTTCCAAACTTGCAATCAAAACTTTGCCTTGCGTCATCTTGTTCAGGTAAGCCATCTTTATTGTGTTTCATCTGTTCAATATTTTTTCCAATGCAAGAGTAGATCAATGTTTGGCTGAGAGCACAAATTTGATATGCCTATGGCTGCAATTTGATATTCTTATGGAAACTTAATATATGGATCACACAGCAAGTTCAATCTTTTAATGTTTTGGATATTTTAATCACATTTTCTTCGCAAATTTATATGAAGAAATCTTGGTTAACCCTCTTCCCCCTCTTGCCTCCTCTCTCTATTTGTTTCATTTTTGCATATTATGCTTATAAATCTGATTGGATGCATTTCTTTGTGTTTACATACAGTCAATTCTTGCTGCAAACGTAAGGTTTCTATTGAGGGAGACTTTTGAGTTTATTTCATACCTGTTGAATGTGCACCTCTAATTCATAGCATGTTGAAAACTTGAATCTTAATTTTTTATTTTTTGAGTTTATTCTGTTTGAAATGAGGCTGGCCTCTAAGATGACTGAAACCCGCCTGAGTTGCAAACCCCAAATGTGCCTTGTGCTCTTGTATTTTATGTGGACAGCTTTATAGGGAATTGCATTAAATGGAAAACTTATAATATTCTCTTTCAGAAATGGAATTGCAGTAGATAGGCTGGTCGGGTTTCAAGACTTGGGAGGAAAAGATGATTTCACCACAAAGGCACTTCAGAATCTACTAATAAAAAAAGGTGATAATACTTCAATTTAGATTACTTCACATTGCTAGAATAGAAGTCTCTAAATGATAATTTTACAGGTATAATTAGTGAGAGTAAAGGGGATGAAGAAGACGAGGAAGACGATTATCACGAAAACAAGAGCAGGGCAGTAAGATCCTCTACGGGTTTTGGTTCTGATTCTGACTGAAGAAAAGGGAAACTTCTGTTATTTACTTGGATTATTAGTTTGCCTTTTTAATGTTGTTATTGCAGAAGTTTTGTCATATTTGTACATCTTTATTACCACTTCAGACCTCTTCTTTTTTCTTATGTGGAAGAGAATGAAATTTGGATCTCCAATCCTTGAAACACGGTACAAATTTCAAGGAAGTTCAAATTAAACAGTAACCCAGGATGCAGATGACTTGAATCCAGTTGGAAAACCTTATAGTTAGCGTATTACAGATTTTATGAAAAAAGTTTATGATTTTAATTATTAATATTTATAAAGTGTATTGATAATTATTTTTTTTTTAAAATTTTCCCTGAATTTTAAATTCAGTATGTGGCCCTTGCTGCTATTGAGGTTTTTAGCCATTCTTGGTCTGCCGAGCAGCAGTGAAATAGAATGGCACACGGTTTAGCAGAGCTTCGAAGAAGTATAGAAAGAAATTTCTCAGTGACTCATTATCAGTAATATATTATACTATTTAAAAAATTTATTCATATTTTTATTCAAAATTATAAAATGAACCTATTATTTTCTCCCGCCTCCTCTGATATGAAATGGGATTAGGGCTGCAAACGAACCGCGTTAATCATGAATAGTTCGAGTTTGGCTCATTTAAAGCTCGTTTGAGTTTGACTCGTTTACTAAATGAACGTGCTCAAGTTTGATTTTTAAGCTCGTTTATTAATCGAGTCGAGCTCGAGTAGCTCTAAGCTTGGCTCGATAAGGCTCGTGAATATAAAAATAAATAAATTTTCAATAATATGTTTTATTTTTTTATTTATGTTTGGTGTTTGTATGAATTTACATATTTGATTGATGAAATTTATTATTAATGTAAGCATTATTATGTATTTTACTCATATTTTTTTTTTGTTTTGTTTCTGGTTTTTGGTTTTTTTTTTTTAATCTTAATAAGTAAATTAATTTAAATTTAATTTTTTTTAAGGCTCAAACTTGAACTCGACTTGTTTATGTAATTGAATAAGCTCGTGTTCAACAAATATTTGATGAGCCCAACTTGAGCTTAATTTTTTAAGTTTGATTGGAACTTGTGCTCCACTAATTCTTAATAAACGAGCTTGAGCAGTCAAAAATTCGGCTAGACTCAGTTTGTTTGTAATCCTAAGTAGGATAGAGGGTGGGCATTACAAAATGGCCCCGACTGTCGTCACGTACAGTCTGTTTGGATTAAGTACTTTTGAAACGGACTAAGTAATTTAGAGTGAAAAGAAAAGAAATCATTTTTTTTTTTTTTTGGTCCGAATCACTTGGATTACTAAAAAGAGGAGAAATAGAGAGAAATTTATTTCTCCTATAATTTACTTTTTGAATCACTCTAAAATTGGAGAGATTGGGATAGAAAAGAAATTGAATGATTAATTTTGTTTACTAGTAAAAAGAAAATGATTCATCACCCTAATTTTGCTCTTTCAATTTCACTCATAATAATATGGAATTAGATTAAAGATGAGAGGAGAGGAGTGTGCATTACTTCACATGTGCATTAGCCATGTCATTGGGATGGAATTGGAGAGGCAAAAATTAAAGAGATGTAGATCGCTCTTACTAAAATTGTCCATCTAAAAGGTTATTTCAATAAATATAATATGCAAGTTTTATTTTATTTTATTTATTTATTTGTTATTATTATTTTTCCTTTAATAAAGTCTATCCAAACACTATTAGAGACTATATATATATATATATATATTTTTTTTTGCTTTTTTTGTTATATTATTAAGCACATCATTTCATTTTATTTCCCTAGTAGATATCCAACCTTGGTCTTAAATACTACTACTCATTTTTGTAAATTTCTTCCTAAGTGGATGCAGGTTTGGGTACTGTTGTTTTCTTCAAAACCGTGTAGGGTCTGCATCGAAATAAAATGAAATTTATTTCTTAAAAACCGTGATACACTGGCCCAGGCAGGCATGTGTCCTTTTTAATTTTGAAAAATTTATTTCTTAATTAATTTATATTTATGTGGGAGCCAGAAAAATATAAGTACTAGCTTATTGGGCCTAACCCAAACAGAGTCTACAATGGATCCAGCCCAAACAAATATCACACCCCCCTCTATATAAAAAGGAGGGGCTATCCCAAGTGGAAGGTATGTTCTCTTTCCTTACATTACACACCAAGTACTCTACACTTTCTACACTTTCACTCTGCTTAACAAGTGACTGACTTTACCATCGGAGTGCCTCCAGCCGACAACCCTGGTTGGGTGGCGCCGATCATTGAAAAATCTAGAAATTCCCTAAATGTTGATTTGTGATTATGTATCAATTTTAAGCAGTAAACAACAATCCCAATCAAACAATCAAGACAAATCGACACAACGATTTTACGTGGAAAAAACACAATTAGACACCTCCAATTGTGATAAAAAAACCACGGGCAACAGTTACAAAACAATCCACTAAGAAGATATAAAGGAATTACACAGGTAAACTCTCAATTACCTCACGAATCCACGCCTGAATTGAACCAACCTCTATGTGTCTCTTCTAACCCCGTCTTTACCTCGGAATTGTCTTGACGATGAGCCACTCCAGAATCCACAAAAACTTCAGGCTCGAATTCTTCAGAATCCACCGAAGAACAACTCTCTCTTTTATGTAGAACAAACAAATAATCCTTTGATGTGTACTCTTTAAACCATGAGTTGAATACTCAATCAAAACATCAAAGAAAACTAGCAAAATATCCCCAGATATAAACCTTAGAATCCAAAAAGAAGATCTGGAGGACTTGAGGAGTAGTCTAGTTTTGAGAGAAAACCAACTACTTATAGAAAACCAAAAGTAATCCTAGTTTCTTTAGAAAACCAAATCCTTATCGAAATTCGGAAACTGTGTTCGCGCGGTCCGCTCGAGCGTGGGAATTCCCGCTCGAGCGGAAACTTCATATTCCGCAATTCATATAGGCTTCACGCTCGAGCGTCAGTTTCGACGCTCGAGCGTCGAATCACACCATCCAGTACTTTTTCAGGCATAGTAGAGATGCTGTGAGCTTGTAAACCCTGCTCGAGCGTCACTTTCCCCGCTCGAGCGGGGAGACCAAAATTGAATGCATTTTTGCATATTGCTTCGGCCGTGAGCTAACCGGGCAACTCGACCCCTGTCATAATCAGCGAAGTGACAATCTTGAAAGCATTAACATCACAAACTTCTCTGAACGTCATAATTCGGGTTGGATTCGCATCTAATAAACTCATAGCCTTACTGAAATAAAAGTGCGAAAACAAATACAACTGAAAGCAGTTTTGTCAAACGGAGTTGCCAAAAACAAAACCTAACAATGCTCATCTTTGTAGGTATACCACAACCAAGTTCATCTCTTCGTTGGATCTCAACAATCCATGTGAGAGGATATTTCATGGTCTCACAATTGGCGCCATCTGTGGAAAAGATTGAATGAGATCAACGAAGAACACAACAAACATGTTACTGTAAGTAAACACTCTACAACACTTTGATGGTTATCACGAGTCACAGCTAAGCTTTGAATTTTCTCTCTGATGAAACTTATTATAAAATTACTATAAAATCGATTCTTGAATTGTATACATATATCTGTGTGTACTGACAAACTCCATGGAATCTCTTTTCTTTTTTCATGGTAAATCTTGATGAAAAGTGTTATAACAAAATAGTGCTCATGGATTTACTTTTGCATCTTCACTTTCTCTCTCTAAAAATGGGTTTTAGATTATGTTTGTGGGAGCTTCTTTTCGGCATTATCAAAAAGGTTGCTCAGCCAAACCCACCCCAGGATTGTTTATTTAGTTTTTGCCTCAAAGGAGTTTATTTTATAATTAATTCTTGAGATATACATATGTCTATACTAGCAATTTTTATGGAATCCACAGTTGGTTCTTTACTTTCTCTCTCTAAAAGTTTATTAATCAAGATATTCGGCACCGCTATCTTCTCAACGGGATCAAAATGAGATCGGAGTAAACTGTTAAAATTGAAAGGCTCATTTAATTCGGCACTTTATTTGGCTTGTCTATCAACCAACTCAGCAACAGTAACTCTTTATTGGGTTGTTCGTCAACTCTTTTGTTATTCTAAATCTCATTTCTGAATTTATGCTTATAGATTTGGTCCACTATATATTGATGCTCATAGATTTGGTCCAAACATTTATTTAATATCTATCTCGACATTCTGAGAAGAGTAGTCGGCACATATTATGTGGATCTGCTTTTACATTTTCATTCTCTCTAAAAATAGATTTCATACTTTTCTTGGTGACAACATCTTTTCGGCATTACAAACGGGATTGCTCGGCCAAATTCATATGTGGTCTACCATTTATTTATTTATTCTTTATTTATCAACACTTACCTTATAGTTGATTGTTAACGTGGATGTGTTCCTATGTTAAAAACAAAAGTTAGTCTTCACTTTTTCTCTCTCTAAACGAAAGTTGATTCTTGAAATATATATACATATGCATGTGCTAACAATTAACAGGAATTAAAGAATTATGTTGTGGTTCAATAAGCCAAATGGCCGACTCGCCCCAACTTCAATTCGGCAACTTCAGTCAGGCAGGACAAATGGGAACATCGGAAGATCTATGGCTATGAATTTGTACACAATTTCCTCGACCTCTTAGATCCTTCGTCGCAGGCATGGATTGATCGGCAAAAGTCAATCGCCGAGTTCCAACCCCATCGACAACAATTCCGACCCAAACCGATCATTCTCCCAAGTTTGTTACCCCAGCAAGTCACACAGCGAGAACACTCGATGACAACGAGGATGAATCGACTTCGAGAGATTGGCAAACTTAGACGAGGACGACGCCGAGACTATATATGTAATAACAAACGGTGTATGGTCAAAACAATTCCGAGCTCGATTTTGCCATCTCCGACTTTAGCATCGTCTTCGGCTTCAGCTTCGGCTCGGACTGTCCAAAACATACCTCAAAATTCGGCTATCACAACTACGCCTATTCGGCAAGCACCAACAAACCAACTTACATCCAAGCCCAATGAGCAAGTCGGTAACCTATTGGCTTGTTCAGCAACTTATTGATTATTCGGCCTATTATCAACAAAGCTTCGACAACTTATTTGGCAATTTTATTCTCTGCATATTATAACTCGGCTTCGACAACATTTATTTGGCCTATTATCAACAAAGCTTGGACAACT